ACTAGTTCATTTGCCTATCCACTTTGAAAAAAAAATGCAATCAGCTTTTATGGAAAAAAACAGCAACCATTTTTTTGGTTTTCGTCTCATCAAGAATTCACTTAAAGCATTTCTGACAATAGCGAAGGAAAGAAGAACAGGGAAGAAAAAAAGCACACCATGCATTCCTTACGCTAACAAAGAGGAAGCCAAAGAATGCTTTCTTCGTATTTACAGCATTAATACCCATATGCTTCTTACAATAGAAACCAAAACAGAATCTCCATTTCAGGTCCACAAAGGTTTAAAAGTAAACTAATCAGTACAGAGTAGCAAGGAAATACTATGTTTTGTCGAGCACAAAAAACAAGGTAAGAATAGAAGTCACCAAGTGTTTGGGAACAGCTCCCTACTACGACCTGGGAAAGGGAAGTCCAGTGACTCCTTTACAATCCAGGAAACACTACGACTCATCACGTGCGCACACTTAAGAGTTCAAGATCCACGGGAGGACTGGGGAAATAATTTCCCAAGGCAGATTTTTCATTTGAGGCCAGACACATCTGACTCCCTTAAATACAGCCCAAAGACACAAACGCAAAAGGGGGTTATCACCCTTCCTATCACGATGGTGCAGTCCGGGCCCCGTCCCTGCTTAGAGGGGGCTGCTGCTGGTGCAGCCTGCCCAGAGGACCACACCTGCTCCTCTCTGACAGGCCTACTATGGTGACTCTGTCTCCCCCAGGCAGGCAGCTCAGTGGTTCCCACTGAATAAATGCTAATGGAACTAAATCACAGTCTCTCTGAGCGCTGGTCTCCTCATTTAGAAAATGATGATGGGGGCGCCTGGGTGGCTCAGTCGTTAAGCATCTGCCTTCAGCTCAGGTCATGATCCCAGTGTCCTGGGATCGAGCCCCGCATCGGGCTCCCTGCTCCGCGGGAAGCCTGCTTCTCCCTCACCCTCTCCCTCTGCTTGTGTTCCTTCTCTCTCTCTCTGTCAAATAAATAAAAATAAATAAAAAATAAAAAAAGAAAATGATGATGGCTTTTCAGCCTTTTCCACAGAGGTGTCCTAAGGCTCCAACAAACTAACGCGGATGAGAAGACCTTTGTAACAGGGAAAGGGCCACCCAACTGTAAGGGGCGCCATCCAGTAGGTGGGCACCACGTTCGATGCAATGACTGAAGGGACACAGGCAAGCACAGAGACCCAGCTGGGCTGAAATGGCTTCTGATCAAACCTCAGAGCAACTGGTAGTGCACAAAGATCTAGGACAATCATTAGTCAATCATCTTGGGATCCTAGTTCAAAGAAGCAAGGATAGTCCCTAGGTGCTCCTAGAGTTAAAGCTTCACAGGAAGAGATACCGGTCTGTCTTCTCCATCAACAGACCCCCAGAGCTGGGAACATGCACATCTGATGAATGGATGAGTCAGAGACAGAGATGTGAGTACCCAGGAGTGCCAGGCTCGAACCCAGAGCGGGCAGAAGGGGCCTGGCTAGCCTCGCAGAAATGGATACACAAGCCTCTAGCATCTTCGATGGGAAGTCCATCAGGAAGTCTATTGACTTCCTCTTCCTCCAAAGCCCTGGAAAGCTCCTAAATGAGGCACTGTGGTCCAGGGAAGAGAGCACAGGCCCAGGAGCTCAGTCAGACAAATCTAAATTCTACTCTGGACAACGCAACTCAACCACCTGACAGCCTCTCCTAAATGTGGTCAGCAGAACCTGCTTCCCAGGACTGATACAAAGATCCAAGTTGAGAATACACGTTAAGTCACTATGCACAACCCTGTGACATAGTAAACATGAAACAGGTTATCAGACCCTCCTTCCAGGTGAAGGAGGAACTAAATCCCGTTAGAGGATACAAAATCCCCCTAACTCAAATCTTTAGTCTCAGAGCAGAGAAAGCCAAATTTCCCTTTGGGCCCAAATTTGGGTAGAAGTGGGATAGTCATCTGGACAACACAATGAGAATTAACAGCCTGGTGAAAAAGACCTGCTACATTATCATCCATTTCTCTAAAATCGTAACTAAAGTCATCTTTAGAGCACGTGACCTCTATTCTTTGAGGCAACAATGGGCAAGGTCAAGGTCTGTCACACCCAGCTAGAATCAGGATTTGGCGACAAGAATCCAGAAACATGCAGAGTAAGACTGTGACGTTGTGGCCGATTCTTCGGAAGGAGAAACAGATCCCAGAAGTCATGCTTTCAGGGAAGGCATTTTGTTGGCATAGGTAAGAAAGCAGGAGAAACAGAGGCATTCTTATACTCAAAGAATGAACTTCTTCATACCTTCGAGAATGTTTGCTCAGAAATCAGCAGTGCTATTAGCAATTGCACACGTGAAGAAACACAGCCCGACTTCCTGTGAGCCCCAGTGACCTCTCCACAGCAGCACCTGGGCACGCTCCATATTTACTTATGGTGCAATCTGATCCTGACTTCGGTGAGTTATTTCATAAGCCTTTTAAGGGTTACTACATTTTGTTCCTATAAGAGGCCAATCCAAATTAGCAACAAAAGAATAGTTAAACACAAGAAAAACCACCTCTTTTGTGCTCCTCAAGAAAGGCAGTCTTGGTCATTAAAAAGGCAAAGTGTGTTTTATTCTCTATCCACTTTCTCTTACAAAAATCGGTCCAGTAATTTTCCAGGGTGGGGAGGGGATTAGTAGTCTTCCACTCACACCTGTTTGAAAATGAGGAGGAGTCGAAATGGTATACACATGAGAGCAAGTTATCTGGCATTTGGTTCTGGGCCATGTCCTGTAGAAAGTATGCTAACTATCAAATGCTACACAACATACTATTCCTCCAAAACTTAGCCATCTAAAGATGACCATTTTATTTTCGATCTTTTCTCTGCTCTTCCGACTGGATGATTCCTACTGTCCTATCTCCAAGCTCACTGACTCTTTACTCTGTCATCTCTTAAGTTGTCAAGCTCATTCAGTAAAATTTTTAAATTTTATTTTGGGTACTATATTTTTCAATTCTAGATGTTCCATTTGGTTCTCTTTTTGGTGTCTATTTCTCTGCTGACTATCTTTTCATTCATTAGAAGCATATTTTCCTTTACATCCTTGGGCATAGTTAGAGTTGCTTTCAAATCATTGTCTGCTAAACCCAACATCTGTGTCATTGTAGTCTCTGCTGATTATCTTTTTTCTCTTGGAGAATGGGTCATATTTTCTTGTGCTTAAAGTAAGCCTGAATTCTATCCTGGACATTGAGAATACTATGCTATGGAAACTCGGGATTCTATTATATTCTTCTAAAGAATGTTGATATTTTTATTTTAGCAGGCAATTATCTTGGTTGGAGTTACACTGTCCAATCTGGTGTGGCAGCTCAAAACTCAGTACAATTCTTTTATCCGTAGCTTAGCTGCTTGGATCCTGCCCTACATGTGTGATTCAGGCATCACATGGATTCAGACAGCTGATACACAGAATTTGGGGCTTGCTTTCTCCTCCCCAGGAGTCCCTCCTTCATTTTCCAATGGCTGTGCTTCCTCCAAACTGTCCATTTAATCTTTAAGATGAAAGGAGTGCAGATTTTCTTTTAGAGTTTTAAGTGTCCTACAGAGCACACGCTGCGCCGCTCCCTTCTTCCAAGGGGCAATTCAATTCCAAAATTGCATGTTTGTGTCAAATTTGATTATTTTCACATGGCTGTCTTTTGTCCAGAGTTTGTAATTATTATTTGCAGGAGGTTCAGTCCTACAGCAGCTTACAGGACCATTAACAGAAGCAGAACCCACACCACTTATTTTTTCCCCAATTTTGGATTATTCCTCATAATCTTGTGGGTCACAAATTCAGAAAGGGCTCTGTCAGGCAGGCTGTCCCTCATTCACGTGGCATCAGCTGTGCAACTAGGAAACCGAGCTTGGAACTAAGGAAGCGCGCAACTACCTAGAAAACTTCCAAGATGGTCTCCTGCCCACATGTCCGCTGCCTTGGTATTCCCTGACGCATCTCTCTCTCTCTCTCTCTTCATTACATCTCACCCTCCAGGGCTTCTCTCCATGCAGACTGAGCAAATCACGGCATAGTGATCTCAGGGGATCTGCACATCTGACATGGTTAACCAGCTTTGACGAGGCTAAAAATGGAATCTGCCAGATCAGTCAAGGTTTCTATCAGAAATGATACAAGATCACTCCCACCACATGTGATTATTCAAAGCAGTCACAGAGATTTTTCGTCATCCAGACTGAAAATGGAGAAACAAATGCTAATCCTTGATGGGAGAATGGCAAAGTCATATTGCAGGCGTGTTTCTGCAGCCATCTTGGAAAAATAGAATCTGCCACATAAGTATCTGATATCTGATGAAGCAAAACAAATGCCACCCAAAGAAAAACTCTAGGAAAATATAGGCAGGCTAGTTCAATGTTAAGCATGTGGTCCAATTCTGCCATCTTTTTTATCACCTTCTCATGTTATCAATATAGTGACCTCTAAGCTATTCAGCACAAAAGAGGTTTCCAATGGCAGTCTACTGAGTTTCTAAAGATTTAATACTTAAATACTGTATCAATTTCAAAACAGAAGAAATGCTTATGATGCTATCATCCATAAATGTAGGTCAAGATTAAAGTTCTCTTTGTTTTTTATTAAGATAATGGTCCATAATAACTATTTATTAAATGTCTATCATGTGTTTGAAAACTTCTAGGCACTTCAAATACCTGTTTTTGTTGATTGTTCTCTACATGATGTAAGATATGCACTGGCTTAGACAAGCATTGACAATTTATGAGAAAGGAGACTGGCTCAAACACATTAAGGACAAATACAATGCAAAATTACAAAAATACAAATCCTGATAAAAACAAATGTGACCTAGGACCCGTATCTGTGGGAATATGCGCACACACGTATTATTTCATGCTACCTTCTAAGCACTCAAACTATCATTCCAAGAACTGTATATATTCTAAATTCTAAATACCATATTCTAAATGAAGCCATATATATATGAAACATGCCGAGAAACAATCTTACCTTGTCTTGGTTGTCTTTATTCTTGTAACACAGATTTCCGATCAGACGAATGAGATGAGACTTAAAGCCCTCAGCCATATTTGAGATGTCGCCCTCTGCTCTTATGCAGCCACCGCTACTGAAGATGTTTGTGGTGTCATTGCCAGCTACATGAATCAGTCGTAAAAGGTCTACAACGAAAACAGTAAGTTTTATTTACCCTAAGAAAATTTTTGGCATTTTGTACTGACTTTCCATATACAAATCTAACTTACATTAATGGACTAAAATAAAATAAAGGTAAAGTACCTTTAATGATTAGAAAACTCTTCTTTTGCTTGAAATTTTTTCACAACGCTGGTTTTGGGGAGATAAGCCATAATGATTATCCCAACCTGGACTTTCTATTTATCCACAAAGAAAAGTTAGCTAAAAATTTTCTGCCATCTTTCTTTTTTTTTTTTTTAAGATTTATTTATTTATTTGAGAGGGAGAGTATGTGTATGCGCATGCATGTGTGTGAACGAGGGGAGGGGCAGAGGGGAAGCAGACTTCCCACTGAGCCACAGAGCCTGACACAGGAGCTCGATCCCCTAGCCGGGAGATCATGACCTGAGCCAAAACCAAGAGCCGGACACCTAACCGACTGAGCCACTCAGGCACCTTCTGCAATCTTTCTTATAAAGAAGTTTCCAATCCCAAATTCTTTATGAAGGAACTCATGTGACAACTACAGTCAGCTACATCTAAAATACAATCAATACTTATTCTGTAATGAGCCATATGACAAAAACCAAGAAGTAGGTTGATTTTTTTTTCTCACTGTCCAGGTAATCGGAAGGCAACATGTACTCTCCATAAATCTAGTCTGGCTATATTCAAAAGAGGAAAAATTATTATGCTCTATGAAATGCGTCTAGACAGCATATGAAAATAGATCATCTTCCAGAAGCTGTACTTAAGTGTTTCCACGTTATCCCATTTAACACCCTTAACAAACCTATTAAAGGCAAGTATCGGGGCACCTGGGTGGCTCAGTGGTTAAGCGTCTGCCTTCAGCTCAGGTCATGATCCCAGAGTCCTGGGATCAAGTCCTACATCGGGCTCCTTGTTCAGCGGGGAGTCTGCTTCTCCCTCTGCCTGCCACTCCCCCTGCTTGCATGCTCTCTCACAAATAAATAAATAAAATCTTAAAAAAAAAAAAAGCAAGTATCACTTTCTCAATTTTATAATGAAGAAATCAAGCTCAGAGAAGTCAGTAATTTGGCAGAGCTGGGAAGACAACCCATGTCTGCCCTGGATCCAAACATACACGTTTTTCTAAAAAGATTCTGTTTCCTAGGTTTGTGGTTATTTTAATTACCACTAAAAGCACTGCACTCAAAATAAAACACTCACATGAGATTCTAAACATCTTCTATAGCTCATTGCTGACTCATCTACCCACCTCGATACAAATTCATCTTTCTTAGCATATGCATCTCCACAGTAAGTATAATCCTTTTTTAAAGGAAAAAAATAGCAAACAGTGAATAACAACACCCTAAGTATGGCTAACCACAAGGAACAGGTTCTACTTGAATTATTTTGCAAATAACTTTTTAGCAAGGATGGTATTCCAACCGATGGTTAAGAATCAAAGACATAATCACTATGTGTAAGGCACTATTCTTCGTGCCCTATAAAAGTAATAGGGAAAAATATACTTAACAAATTTGGAAAACGAATATAAAAATCCCCATCATCATTGCTGAAACCGCCCCCATCATCACAAACCTCCCACCACGTGGCCACAACGCTACTAAGGACACATCCATGAGGTACACTCTGCTTAACAGACAGTAGTACCCTCATCTATTGGTCAGGCAGCAGGAGTGAAACAGCAGGTCAGTGGCAGAAGCCAGAGCTGGTACAAAAACACAGTGATTCTTCCCAAGAAAAAAAGGTATTAAAAAAAAATCTCAAAAATAGAGCAATACAACGAAAATTAAGGATCTGTGTTTGGACTTACACTTCAGCGTGACAAGCCAAAGATTCCTTAATTACAAAGAACAGCATGTGGGATAATTCACTCACCAATCACTCTTTCCAGCAAGCCAGGAAAAACCTGCAGATAGCTGAGCAGATCAGTATTAGCGGTCATTTCACACAAGACATCAAGAAGCCGAACTGTGGCCAACGCCTCCTAAAAAAAGAAAACATGACTTTTAAGTCAAGCTAAATAATTTGCAACTGTTATAAATAATGGTAAGAGAATGGAATACTACGAAAAATATTAAAGAGTTGGTGCTGGTAAAGTCAGCATCTAAAGAGAGAAAACAAAACGACCAAGAACGAAACAGATATTAAATCTGTATGTGAACAATCATTTTCACTAACAGCAACATCTGCCATCAAGAACGCGAGATTATGTGTCATTATGTGTCTTCTTGGAGCGAAGAGTCAGAAAAGTTCTTATTCAAGCAAAAATACCTTCCAACAGTGGAATAAATGTTCAAAATTACTAGCTACGTACATAACATTTATGCAAATACTTTCTTTTTAAAGCATTCCCAGCAAGCAAGTTCTACTTTAAAGATACAACTATCCCATGAAATACATAAATTTCTTGTCCACAGGAATCCTGTAAAATACTGTGGCTGAAAGAACTCTGGCTGCAAGAACATGCATTATTTCTCAGTAAATATAAACCTTTATGCAGTATCTTGCAAGGCTGGAAAAGATAACATTATTTGGAAAGGTTAGTTCACATAACTACTCAAGAATTGATTATCACATGGACCAAATGAACAAAAAACCACCAGCTACCAACTATATGGTATTAGGTAATCTGAATAAAATGGTAAAATCCAATTTTGTACAGATTTTGGCCCTCATTTTTAAAGTGCACATTATTTGGCAAAATGCGGTAGATGCTATAAATCTAGGTCATAAAGAGAACATTCTTCAAAAGAAAAATAAACTACTTCTTTTTGCTAATTCTAAACATGTACTTACTAAACATGTTCTTCAGTTAGGAGATTTAAAGGTAATATTCTAATCTACCATTCTGAAATCTCAAAAGAAACCACAAGAAACAACATTTACTTTTTAAAAAATTTTTATTATTCATTCATTTATTTATTTGTTTGTTTATTTATTTAGAAGGAGAGAGAGAGAGAATCCCAAGCAAACTCTGCACTGAGTGCAGAGCCCGACACAGGGCTTGATCCCATGACCCAGAAGTCATGACTTGAGCCGAAATCAAGAGTTGGATGCTCAACTGACTGCACCACTCAGGTGCCCCACAACACACATTTTTAATGCCTTGAATCTTTAATTTTACTCTAGCTTTCACTTGCTTGTTTTAACAAGTTAGGGGAGATATCTAGATGAGAAGGTTGAAATCAGAGCCAAATTCAAAAGACTCTTGAGCAAACCCGTGGGCGTCGTGCGTCAGCACCCTCTTCTGTGAATGGGCAGTTGCCCAGATTGTCATCTGCAGATGCCATTCCCCCTTCAAGAAGTGGCTGACTGGTTGTAGATTGGGGGCAGAACACGTGACACATGATCCTGAACACAGAAAACAAGCTGTGAGAGACGATCAGGATCATGTCGGAAGGAATCAGAAGCAACCTGAGAAGGCTCTCACTGGCCAGCAATGGCACATTAGAAAACTAGGGAGAGGCGCACCTAGGTGGCTCAGATGGCTAAGCGTCTGCCTTCTGCTCAGGTCATACCCCCCATATCAGGCTCCTGGCTCAGCAAGGAGCCTGCTTCTCCCTCTCCCTCTGCCTCTCTCCCTGCTCATGCTCTCTCTCTCTGTATCTCTGTACCTCAAATGAATAAATAAAATCTTAAAAAAAAAAAAAAAAGAAAAGAAAACTAGGGAGAATTACAGCTAAAATGGGTTGAAAATAATTCAAGTATCTGGGGGCGCCTGGGTGGCTAGGTTGGTTAAGTGTCCAACTCTTGGTTTTGGTTCAGGTCATGATCTCAGGGTCCTGGGATCGAGCCCCTCGTCAGGCTCCATGGTCAGCAGAGAGTCTGCTTCCTTTCTCACTCTCACTCTCTCGCTCTTGCTCCTTCTCTAAATAAATAAATCTTTAAAAAATAGAAGAGAGAAAGAAATCAGGTGGTTTTAAAACTATGACATCACAATAGTGATGAAATCAAAACGGAACAACTCACTGCAGATGCCACAAAACCAATTCATTACTTTGAATATTGGTAATCAAAATGTGCCTTGTATAACCTAACAGTTGACTAGGAGACGTTTCTAAACGATAAGAGTCAAAATACCACCATTTCAGAACCCCCAAAGAATGAACGGACCCAGGTAACAATCATTTACAATGGCTAACATCACAAAAGAGACAACCAGACATTATGTGCCTCTTGATGAAAGAAAGCATGTATCATCAACAATAAAACATCACTGGGAAAAAAAGACATAAAAACCTAACCCAAATCTGAATAGCTCTCTGGAATTAATTATCAGTCACAGGAATGCAAGGAAAAGAGCAATGTGTGAAACACCACCATGAAGATAATATCAAAATCCAAACTGCAGAAAACTCTACAGGTAAAACGACCCAGTTTCTTCAGTAAAGAACTAGCAAAAAGGAAAAGGCGGAAAAAAAGAAGAGAAGAAGGGCAAGAAAGGGGAACATATACATTAATGGATATTTGAGATACAACAACAGATTGCAATGTATGGCCTTTGTTTGTATCCTGATCTGAAGAAATAAACTTGAACAAAATTATTAGATAATGGGGCAAAAATCTGAGTATTGTTTACTTGATATTATAATTATACTGCTAATTTTTTCGGTGTGCTAACTGTAGTTGACTTGGGTGTGACTCATCTTTTAAAGATACGTATAAGATAATGATGCACTGATGAGACATGCTGGAATTTTGCTTCAATCCAGGGCTGCTGCCGCTAGATCAAGTTGGGATCATGGATGAAACAAGAGCGGTAATGAACAGAGAGCTGCTGACGTGGGTGATGGGGTTCAGGACGCTTTTTTCGCTTAGTCTGTTTGAAATTTTCCATGATAAGAAGATAAGAATAAAAATAGAAGGTTGGAAGAGATCATGTAGATGTTTCTTTCCAGCTCCTAAATTCTATGATGTCAAATGAACTAAACCCAAAAGAACATTAATCTAGCTCCACCTAACACATTCCCAATTTTAATCATTAGAATCCTTTTATTAATAATGTGTTTCTAAGGAACATCTGGAAACCAATAATGAAAAAAAAAAGCCAGGAAAATGATTCTCTTAAAAACTAAGAGGAATATTTGAGATGCCCTTCTAGTATTTGTAAGTATTATACAACTACAGTCATTAAATCAGGCACTGGGGAAAACAGACACAGGCACATCAAAGGAATGAGCCTCTGCAGTGGGCAGAAGAGGGGGGAAAAAAGATTAGTCTCCTGTCTAGATCATCTGTCTGGGTTAACTTTACCCTTTAGTGTCTTTGAACTATTTTACAATATTCTAAGTTGTAGAAAACTGATAATAGTGCAAATGACTCTTGTCCACAGAAACGTAGATTACTTGGGTCTGGCTGGAATGCAATTAATTACTGCCTTGTGCACAGACCACTGTTTGCATCTATGGGTCAGATCACTCCAGCATTCCTTCATCGTGTATAAACACGTGGCTCTCTGAATTCTTTGATAGCTGTTAGTATCTCACTGGTTCTCTCTGTAAAACGTCAGAAACACAGAAATGGATCCAAAAATATACAAGAATGTAATATATGACAAAGGTAGCATTAAAAATAGTGGAAAGGAGGAGATCATTCACTAAATAGTATTGACACAACAATTAACAGCTAACATTTAGGGAGCACTATGTACCGATCAGTGTAGTAAATGCTTACGTCAAAATACTATTCATCTTCCAGGCAGAGAAACTGGGGGACAGAGAATAAGTAACTTTTCCAAGAGCACACACCAGTAATAGAGGAAATCAGGATTCAAACCCAAGTGGTCCTTTACCAAAGATTATAGAATCTTGGATCATCAAAAGACATAATCTGGATCTATACTTCCCTCCTTGCTCAAAAAACAAATTCAGTTAAAAATGTGGACCAAATACTGAAAGAACTAGAACATACAGGTGCGTATTTCCACAATCTAAGTGGAGATGGTTTTACTAAATACGTAAGAAACTTCAGAAACCATAAGGATAAAACTGGTAAGCCTAACTAGATTAAAAACAAAAATACAAACTTCTAAAAGGCTGAGAATACCATAATAAATTCAAACAAAAAATTAACTATGGGGGGGGAGAAGTTTCCTGTATATATGACAAAAACATTAATCTTCTGAAAATGCTCATTAATAAATGTATTTTAAAAGGTAACCTAATATGAAAAACAAATGAACATGCTGGACACTGAAAACAGTTACAGAGAAATGGGCATTAAATCAGATTAGTGAAAGGCTGCAGACCCATATACTACCATGTTCTTTTGGTATGGCATTTAGAAGTATTTCTAAACATTTTAAATAAACAGACTCTCTGACTCAGTGATTCAACGTCCAGGAATTTACAATTCCAGATTTGCCTGTCCAAAATTGCAAAGATATCCAAGCTACAGCATTATCTGTAAAGGTTTGAGGAAAACCCTGGAAGCTACTAAAGTGTATGTCGACGGAGAACAAATGAGGAAATTCCGTCTCCTCCGTCTAGTGGAATTCTGCTCCACTGTGAGGAAGAAGGAGATGAAGGCACATAATGTGTTAAATGGAAAGATGTACAAGACACTTCAGGCTAGGCGAAAAAAGAAGTTGAAGAATAAAAAAGGTAGTACTGTAAAAAAAAAAAAAGAAAGAAGAAGAAGAAGAAACGAACAAAAAACAGGTGTATACTTACAAAAATCTCTGAGAAGAGAAGAAAAAAGTATATGATGATATGTCCATAGAAAACAGACAGGGGCTGGGCGGGAATGAGGACTTCTGTTTCACTGACTTCAGTGTGAATTTTTTTTTTTATTTAATAAGCAAATATTATTTGCACAGTACAAATATTTAATCCCTTATCAGTCTGTGGAATGAAAGATTACCCTTTCTTATTCCACAAATATTTATTAAATACCTACTATATTAACAGATATTATAACGTAAGTTGGGGAACACAAGGAATAAAACAATGAAAAACCCACCACCTGAGGATAATTCTCGTAATAGATGAATACGAAACTAAAAACAAAATACGAAACTAAAAAGAATTTATTTAACTTCCAGAGGAAAGGCCAGGCTCCCTACAAGCAACAAGACTAAGGCTCGAGATAAAGCTGAACTGAACCCTAAGTCCTACAGGATAAATTGCACATTAGCACCGAAGAAAACGTTCTCAGAAACTGGAGACAAGTACACAAAAAATACCAAAGACAGAAACACATACGTGAATGTGAAATCCTCAGACTGTTTCTATTAAGGAAGACATGAAAAAAAATCCTCAGGATTTTAAAACCCAACAATTATACAAATACACAATAGATGACCCCAAGATGACAATTTTCACTCCAATATTTTGGCCACAGCATTATGAGACCCTTATTGGATATCTTGTCCTAAGAATATCACAACTGGGTAAACGCAGAGGTTTTGCTGGTCTGCTGGCTCTGGGGAGATGGAAAAGGAGGCAGGAGCAGAGAGCCCTGATCTGTGGCCTTTGCTGATTTCCACGGTAGAAATACTTCCACCATGGCAATTTCAAGCTACAGAAAGTTCAACAGTCAGCTCATGGATATCTGAATATTTAACAACTGACTCTCAGAAGTCCATATAGCCTGGCTTCAGTATACCACTGGGTATATGGGTATATGGTATATTAAATATTGGGGTTAGAGGTCTTCTTAAAAACTACTGTAGCTTTTTAAAAAATGTCTAACTTAAAGGAGAACACATATATACTAATATGCACAAGTCATGACTTTTATAGATCAACTTTTTTTTAAGATTTTTTTATTCATTTGAGAGAGAGAGTGAGAGAGCGAGCAAGAGTGAGAGCACGAGCAGGGGGGAAGCTCAGATGGAGAGAGAGAAGCAGACTCTAGACCAAGCAGGGAGCCCGACACAGGGTTCGATCCCAGGACCCCGGGACCACGACCCGAGCCCAAGGCAGACACCTAACCAACTGAGCCACCCAGGCGCCCGATCAATTTTTTTAAAAAGTGAACGATGAATCATGGAACAATACATCAAAAACTAATGATGCAATGAGTGGTGACTAGCATAACATAATAAAATAAAATAAAATAAAACAGTGAACTATCTCTGGGCTTTTCAAAAGAAAACGCTCCACAAATTTCTATTTATTAATATATAGTAATTATTCCCCTTTTAGAGAAAAAAGAAAAATATAAATTTTCCTCAATATAAAAAGTTCCATCGGGTAATTTCCTTTTACAGTACTGAGGTCATCCATACCAAAAATGCCAGTGCCTTGAAAAAGCTTAAAGCTGTGGTTTAACAAGTACTAAGTTTTACCTCCTTTCCTGTCTCCCAGAGAATTAACTTTTACGTTTTTGGGGCACAGCTCACTGCTCCTCCTGCTGGAAACAGAGGCAGATCTATCTCCAGAAAGGAAAGGCATCAGTGAGTCGAGACCTGGCCTCTCCTATCACAGAAACGAGGAATAAGATACCAGCTCTGTCAGCGAGACCCAACGTGGTCTGTAGGACACAGCACAGAACATCCACAGCAAAGTAACCTGGAAAAAAGGTACAGTCACAGAGAAGGAAATCTACTGTCGTGGTAGAAGAGTCATAACCATGGCCTGCATTTACAGAGGAAGTTAACATGTTTGTGGCATCACACACACAGGATCCAGGGAAATGTGAAAGGATCCAGATAGAGTGGATGGAGCCCTTTCCCAGCTATTCACACCTCTCTGCCCACGGGAGTCGCTCTGCACCCATCACTCCCATCGGCACGGAAATGTTCATATCAGTGTTTTTGCGGTACAGCTGACATGCAATAAAATACATCCATCTGGAGCGTACCGTACAGAGTTTTGTCAAGGTACACAGCTATGTACCACACTTCTCTTACCCAAAACGTACCCTCATATCCTTCACAATCAAATCCACCCCTTCACTCCAGCCCCAGGTGACATCTGATCTGCTTTGTTTGTATCAGTAAGTTTCACCTTCTACAGAATTTCAGAGATGGAATCATTAAGATACATTCTCTAGTCTGGCTACTTTCAGGAGGGATGTTTGGGATTCATCTCCTCTGTTGTATCACAAACCCATTCCTTTCTACTGCTGAGTAGTATTCCAGAGAAAGAACCATTCTAACTTTAAGACAGAAGGGAAGGAAGATGGGACAGACAAAAATAAAGAGATTTCTCAAGTGTGAAGGATGTATCAATGCTTCCATCCCCTTAGTAAAGACTGGAATAATCCAGGGCGGCCTTGAGGAAAGTAAAACAAAAAAAATTACTTGAAGAAGCTAGCCAGGATGGTGTATGATCGGGAATGTTTTATAACGACAGAAGAAACAAATGTTCTGGAAGGCAATTTAGAAATATAAGCTTTAAAAAACTGGATTTACCCCAGGGCTCCTGGGTGGCTCAGTTAGTTAAGTGTCCGACTCTTGATTTTGGCTCAGGTCATGACCTCAGGATCCTGAGATCAAGCCCAGCATCAGGCTCCATGCTCAGGGGGGAGTCTGCTTGAGATTCTGTCTCTTCCTCTCCATCAGCTCCTCCCCCATCTCAAGTGTGTGCATTCTCTCTGTCTCCCAAATAAATAAATAAATCTTAAAAAAGAAAAAAACCCCACAAAACTGGATGTACCCTTAACACCCAGCAATTCCGCTCCTGGGTTAACAGTAGGGAAAGGTACAAAGATAGAATTTCAAAGACATATACTACAGCACTAACTACAGGAAACAGAAATAAGAACAACCAGAACGTCCAACTTACAGCTGGACAAATAGATTATGGCAAACTCTTCACTTCTAATGCTACACTGACTTTTTAAAAGACACTGACAATGTACTGTTTATTCATTCTGCAAATACTAAGCGCCTACTGTGTGCACAGTACTATGAACATAACAGTCAAAACTTCTACCCTCATAAAACTTACATTCAGGAGAAAAAAAAAGAGAAACTTACAAACAGCACAGCATGATCTCATTTTTAATATATATATGGTTGTGTGTGTGTGTGCATGGATGCACGCATATATTTGATGTTATCTGCCTAAAAAATATGTTAACTAGAATTTGTTTTCAAGTCATTAACTCTGAATGGTAGGAATGAGGGCACTGTTTTTCCTTGTTGTATTCTCTTAACTGTCCTCGTCCATGGGTGGCTTAGAAACAACAGACACTGGTGTCTCATAGTTGTGGACGCTGGAAGTCCATGATCAGGATGGCTGGGTTCTGATGAAGGCCCTCTTCCAGGCTGCAGATGGCCGACCTCTCGTTGTGTCCTCACGCGACAGACGGGGCAAGGGATTCTTGCAGGGTCTCTTTGTAAGAGCACTAAATTCCAACACTGGGGGCTCTACCCTCAAGACCTACTCACCTCCCACAGGCCCAGCCTCCTAGGACCATCACCTTGGCCATCAGGTTTGCAACATATGGATTTGGAGGGGAGGAGACACAAACATTCAGTCCGTCGCAGTCCATTCATTACTTATGCAGAATTTTTTCAAGTTTTAAAAAAGAATTCTCAAAGAGGGCCTAGCTGGCTTAGAAAATCTCCCTGCTCTCTCCCATCCAAGATTCTGAAATGTGTCCTCTTACCTCATCGTCCGCATGCTGCTCAGAGGTCAATTTTAGCACCATCTTGCACTGATCCACAAAAGTGCTTGCAATCAGCTCGGCATGGCTCAAAAACACAGGGATGTCATCCTTGGTCAGTGGCTCATCCCCCACTAATTTCGCAATTACGAGGTCTAGCAGTGTAACTCTGTAAAACGTACAAGGGAGTTTTACATGAATAGGTAATACTGAAATCGTACAATGCTAAAAATATTGAGAGAGAGCATTTTAAGAGAGTATTTTTATTTTTAAGTTTCTTACTCTGTTTATAATGTCTAGCTAGGGAAATATTTTGTGTGACTAGAATGACTTTTCATCGACTACCTATTTTTTAAAATCTTGACTTCTTTGATGTGACCTGACTACAGAAACCAGCACCTTTTCTATATGCATTCCGGTAAGCCCTTGATTCAACATTTCAGAAATGCTATCGGATTAGGTTTTCTGACACATGAACAACGACAACAGCGAGGTTCGTGGGCTAGTAACGTTTACTCACAGCCCACTACTGGGCTAACGAACTTTCTACGCGCATGATCTCGGAGAGACAGCTACTGTCACTGGCCTGGGCTACGCTCAGCAAATACGGCTCAGTGAGGCTGACTCACCTGCCCGTAATCAGACGTGCCATGTCGGGACCCACGCACAGGACTCCACCTCTCACTGCTGGGCCACGGGCCTCAGCTCCTCACTCTACTGTCCTTCTTGTAAAGGCTGGCTTTGATTGTTTCGTTATTTCAGTTCATAAAAACATAAGTCTGAAGACCAAACCCAGGCCATTTTACATCAACACTTAAATGATCCCATAAGTATTTCTATTTAACAAACTCTTTCCTTCTCCGACAAAAAAAAAATGAATCCTATACATGGTAGTCTATCCAGCATAAACCAAGCAGGATGTTTCCCAAAATCACACTGTGACTTGGGATTAAATGCGTAATTCTCATTTAAATATCTCCAAACCAGAAAGGACATGGATGCTAAGCAAGTGGGGAAAATACACTTACAATAGGCACGGAGCATTTCTTACCAAACAAACAAAGAACTTGTTTACTGCTGCAAGTTTCAAGTACGAAATAAAACTATACCAAACTCTTCCTGTAGTTTTGCAAAATGGTGAAAAAGACCATCAGTCTGGAAAAATCACACACAGACCTCACTGGTTTCCAAAATTCCTAAAAGCCTCCAGTTTCTTAGAGCAATCATTAATCCAAAATAAAACAAATAATCGTCTCAATTGAGCACAAAAGAACAAATAGTTCAGCATTAGGATGTTTTTGTTTTCCCTCATTCACTCAGAAACTTTAAAAATGAATGGGGTCCTCTCAGGCCATAAAGCCAGGCAGGACAACTTTCCGGGAACGCTAGGGAGGAGGCCACCTAAGGAACCCAAATGTCTGCTTTAAAAATACTCCTTTTAAATTGGAATAGTGTGGCAATGATTGCTAGGTATGAGAAGTCATGAGCTCTGGTTTTAGGGAATTCAGCACCTTGTGGACTATTACTCAACAGGGCGAAGAGAAAGAAGAGATCGTGAAGGAGTTGCGTGAGGTCCAAGACAGAAAAGGTAGGCCCAGCATGGTACCCAAGCTTGTCCAACAGCAGTGGGAAGGCCCTGGAGTCCCAGGGGACACTCTGAGGGAGACCTGGAAGCTGGAGCTGATAGATATGGTCAGCACAGACGCGGCCTTCCTTACAAGCTCACCGGAGGCCATCCACCCCTCGGACTTCTCCCTGCTCAGGAGCCTCACCTCTCCACTCTACTGTGTGATTGTAACACGGGACAGCTAAGCAGAGAAGTAGTGTCATCTTAAGGAAAAAATAAAAAATGAATGTTCAAAATCTAAAAATACAAATCAAGTTTAACTATCACCTGAGAATAAATTAGACTTCATTAAATGATCCTACTTCTATTGTATTCTCTGTCCATTATTAGGGAGTGGGTCCAACAATTTGGGGCCATCCCAACCCGAGTCCCCATCAAACTCTCCAACTCCCTCTACTTAGAGCCACCATCAAAAACCATCCTTCTGGTCAAATACAGGAATCACGTGTGGGACACACCACACCAGTACGAAACTGTTTTCAAATTCATTTATTTTAATGGCGCATTACATTTGCCGCCTCCATTTGCAAGCCAGAAACCATATGTGTGTTGAAAGTTGAAACGTCCTGCAGAATCCGGGAAAATGGGACATGATGTGGAATGTCTTACTTCTTGCAGCTGTGTGGGAACCACACTAAATCCTTCCTTGAAAAGGTAACAGAATACAAGTGCTATTCAGTCATGTATTTATTCACTCAGAAGTGAAGGATGAAAAAGCAAGAGACCTAGTTGAAGAGGTCAGGGACTAGCTGTCTACAGTCACACATCGGTGTGAAAGTCCTGCGTCCTTAAACCCCGGAATCCTCACTCGGGTCTGCCTTAGGCTACCAGACACACCCCTCAATTCAGATTCGAGCTTCTAGGATTTTCTCCCTCAACCACCGGCTGTCATTCACAATCTTTCTGATCCACTTCTGATTAAATAGTTACACAGTCTCTCCTCAAAACGAGGATTCCTGTTTCATAAAAAAAAAAAAAAAAAAGCAATATATATACATTTGAAGAATTTTAAGGGAAAATTCTATAGCAAAATTTTTATTTGAAAGTTATGCTTAAATTAATGCAGGCTACAATTTTAATAGCCTCGCCTGTGCTGTCCTGAAATGGGAAGTTTGTTTATGAGAGGACTGGAGTGAGGGGCAAAGGAGGATGGGGGACACGTGGGTGAGCAAGTTTTATGAGCAGGGCATGAAATAATACTCTCTAATCCTAGAAATAAAATGTAATTCAAATTTCAGGACTGAGAGCTCCAACGAACCATGAATTCACATTTGGACTCTCCACATATACGATCTGTTGAATGATGTGCCCACAAAAGCCAAACCTTTCATTAACCTGAACAAGCTAACCGAGACACAGGCACAAAGCTGTGGCTGAATTAATCTCACTAGTCCTTTAATAAGTCACAGAGGTAAGAAATTCTTGTGTTGTGGGGAAGAAGATCACTGATTTTGGCATCCGACAGACTGAGTTCAAACATTCCCCCAGCTACCTCTGTAACCCGGGGCAAACACCCGAACCTACAACACCGCAGATCCCAGTGGGGCAGACGGCAAGAATAACACCCATTTCCCAGGGTCTCTGGAGGATGAAATGAAACGGCTGTAAGATGCCACCTGGAGGAAGAGACAAGGTGGCAGAGCGGTGGTGATGGGGGCTGGGCGGGGGGGTACCAGCAGCAGAAGCCCAGAGGCAGAACTAGCAACTCATTCACTTTGTGATAATCCCGCACCAGGCACTGCCTCCTCATAGATTTCAATCAGTTACGGCAATTTCATGGGGCGGCTACTGTTCTTATCCTCGTTCTACAGATGGACCAGGGTTCCACAAGAACAGGTAACTTAACCAAAGCCATGAGCCACAGAACTACCTCTGCTGTTCACTACTCTGCTGTACAGATTATAAGCCTGAGAACCACCCAAGCGTTTTCCAAGAGCAGCTAGGTTTAATCTAATAACACTGCAATTCATCGGGGAGGAGGACCAGAAAATCGTATAAACGCAGACTCTCATTTCTGCTGAGTCAACCATGTGAAATGATTCTGACTCCATATCCTAAACTTCTCACCGAGTAGTCTGGAGTCAATGAGTGGTGACATTCCAAGCACTTTCCCTCCGGAGCCACCCACACTGTCCCTGTGATGCCCCTGGGACCCCCACAGGCACTTGGTGAACACACTACCTGTTTTACTGACTGACCCTCAAATGTGTAAACCTGGCAGCCCTTAACCCAACTGGACATTCTAACTGAGCAGGTGGGGCCACAGCCTGGGCATTCCTCAGGCGATTCTGATGTGTGTTCCCAAAAGCCCCTCGGTGTCTCCACAGGGGTCTCTCGTGAAGTTCCTCACCTGAACCACAGAACACAGAGAATGTTCTCAGTTCTCACAAACAAGGCATGCAGCACCACTCCAGGTGCACAGAAAAGAAGTTAATTCATTACATATCCCTGTTGAGAAAAACTCTAATCTTTTCACTCCTATTAATCTGCAAACTCACAACTGTGAACACAGAATTACCCATAACTGCCTGAAAAGGAGTCAACAGGGAACCCAAGAGCTCTACTTGACCGCAGACTCAGTGCTCCTGCCAAGACCCCCTTCCCCTCCTCCCTGCGCCCTCCCCCCCCACACACCAGCACACACACCCATTAACACTGAACTCGTCAGGCCCCTCAGCCAATCGTTTGAGTCAGTCACCACAAAAAGCTCACACAGGCTCTGACAAGGGCCTAAAAGCATGAGTGTAAGGTGACCCCTGAACACCACAGGGTCAGTCAAAAATCCATGTTATCACTTTTGACTCCCCAAAAACTTAACTACTAATAGCCGACTGTTGACTGGAAGCCTTATGGTAACGTCAGTTGATTAACACGTATTTTGTATGTTGTATGTATTATATACTGTGTTTTTACAATAAAGTAAGCTAGAGGGAAGAAAATGTCATTAAGAAAATCATAAGAAAGAAGGCTGCCTAGGTGGCTCAGTCAGTTAAATGTCTGTTGGCTTCACCTCAGGTCATGATCTCAGGGATGTGAGATCGAGCCCTACGTTGGGCTCTGTGCTCAGTGCGGAGTCTACTTGAGGTTCTCTCTCCCTCTCCCTCTGCCCCACCCCTGCTCATGCACACCGGCGCTCTCTCTAAAATAAAATAAAATGAGGGCACCTGGGTGGCTCAGTTGGTTAAGCGACTGCCTTCGGCTCAGGTCACGATCCTGGAGTCCCTGGATCGAGTCCCGCATCGGGCTCCCTGCTCGGCAGGGAGTCTGCTTCTCTCTCTGACCCTCCCCCCTCTCATGTGCTCTCTGTCTCTCTCGTTCTCTCTGTCTCAAATAAATAAATAAAATCTTTAAAAAAATAAAATAAATAAATAAAATCTTTTAAAAAAGAAAGTCAGAAGGAAGAGAAAATGTATTTACAGGACTGTACTTATTTAAAAAATCTGCATATAAGTGGACCTGCGCAGTTCACACCCACGTTGCTCAAGGGTTGGCTGTACATTCACCAGAAGGAGAGGCAGTGAGTGGCCAGGACACTGCAGGCAGAGAAAAGGACATCCGCAAAAGCAGGAGATTACAGGGAAGGCCTTGAGAACCGACAGAAGTTCTGTGTCGCCATGATGTGGTAACTGAGAGCAGGGGAAAGGGGCTGGAGATGAAGCTGCCTGGTAAAGGCCTCACACGCCACACCCCTCAGGACACACGAGGTGGCGCTCACAGCAAGGTGCTGCCCGAGACTCAGGCAGCAGAAGGGGACTTGAGGGCTCTGAGGTTCCCACCTCAGCAGATGGCATTCCAGGAGTCAGTGCACTAACTGGACAGACCTTTTCACGAGTAAGAAAATTCATTCACTTCCTCGTGTTTTCATCTAAACGACTTTTTCTGGCACCCTGACGTGCGAAGCACCATCTGGGAACATGGCCACCCCGGAAGAAAAAGATGGAGCCTGTGCCCTCGCAGGGCCGACAGCCCAACGGCAGGGTCACACGAGCAGCATGCAGGTGTGCAATACACTACAATGCATGACAAATGACGCGAAGAAACAAAAGCACTTCTCCTCGGGAAGAAAAGTCAAGAAAGAGGGGCCGTGGCACGTGAACAGACGCTGCACGAAGGGGAGCAGCGGCTACAACGTATTTGTAAGTAAAAATGGAAAATGTTTAGTCTGGCTTCTTCATTTGGTTACATGACAGAGCACTTTAAAAACAGATCCTTCGACAGAATATGGAAAATGTAAAACTGAATATTAAAAATACAACTCAACTGTGTATCATTCTCCTTGCGTGCGGGTATTCCTTACTGCAAAGCCGCTTCCCAAGTGATAGCACTGCTCTTCATGTCACTAATTTTAGGTAAAACACTACAAATAATTCTTTTTCTGCAACAGAAGTATGCATATGGGGGGGGCCACTGGATTTATAAACATGGCATTTAAACTGACTTTAAAAGCTCAAACTTTCCTTTTTGTTGAAGCTATTAAAGAAGAAATCCCACTTAATGAGACTACAAAGGAGTGTAAAAGCTTAATTATTTGGAAGCCACAGAGATAGTAAGAATTTCAAAACCACAGCAATTATAAAAATTGTGACTACAATCAAAAGATTAACATTTTTTAAAGTTTTTGATCATTAGATCCGTGATTTCAAAGTAAGTTTTATTTTTCCTAAGGCAACATTCCCAATAAGGCTAGGGAACACATGAGCTATGGGAGTCATCCAGAGCGCTGCGAATCATGCCATTCCATCCTCTAATCTTACAGGCCGAGAAACTGAATCCGAACACAGTAAAAGGCCCGGCTACGGTCACAGACAGAATTACCATCACGAGGAGGCAGGGAGCCATGGTCTCCGTGCTCGGCAGGCACTGCTCTTCCCACTACAATAGCAGGGAGATCACAGATGGGTACCCAGTCTTCGTCTGAAATACCTACGGGAAAACTACACATTGAGTGGGGCATGTCCCAAATCATTACACCAGTGATGTGAACACAGAAGCACGTTTCAAATACGCAACTGCAATCAAAGGACAGGCATAACATTTTGTTCTTAACGTTTCTGAGTTTGCCTTTACTGAATAATGGCGCCAACCTGGATCGTGCAGCCCCACGTAAATCATTGCCTGCTGTGGCTAAGCTGTAATGTTAACCAACCAATTTAAAACCATTACTGACACAGAAACATGTATTTAGAGATTTTGTGCCAACTAAGAAACCACACAGTTTCTCAGTCATGTGTACAGGATACTCTGTATGGAATGCTAAATACTCAAAACCACACTGGTTTTTGGGGTTACCTTTCTTGATTGCTCATTTTGGCATACATCGCTTTCACCAATTCCGGGCTCTTCAGAAAGTGGTCTGTAATAATCAAGAACCTAAGAAAAAAAGGAGGAGAAAGTGTGGTTACTAGAAACATAGTAAAATGGACATGGCCTTATCTACTTTATGGGCATTGTACACATAAAAGTACTTCTTTTTATTGAACTTTTGATGTGCTGTAATCTTAAAATGTTCTAAGAGGTTCACATACTATTTTTCCATTAGCGGCTAAAAGAAAATAAAAACCCTCAAAATAGGTTTCTCCAATTTTACTTCAGAAATATTTATTGAAATGATTCAAATGTATTCAACTATAGGTCTTATCTAAGTTCCATTTTAACTATAAAATGAAATTTAGCTACAAGTTCAGGTATAAACAGAAACCATATTAAACTGTTCTACTCAGAAGGTTAAGTGCTAAAATTAACTAGAGAAATGGACATGTCACACGTTTTATTTAAACGTATGCCAACAACCTGGTAATGCATACTGGCTTGATTACCTTGTCTGTAAGAGCTCTCAAGTTACCAAGAAAACATCCTCATTGTCAAGCAATGCACTTATCTAAACTCAAAGATCAACTTATGGAAACCCTGAGGCAAAGATTATAAGCGTATTTCTTTAAAGTACCACTGTGACAACTAAAAAGATTGAACAGTATTATTAATTAATTCTGAATCATATTGGCCAGAGGGCATCTGCAGGCTTAAGAACTAAAGAATATACTGTTTATAACCAACGTTATAGCATAAGAGTGACTGTAAAGCATTAAATATATTTATGAACACAGTTTATTTAACCACTTAACAAAAAATATAATGAAAGTATGTGTTTCAGTATGTAACCAAATGAACCATATTAACTACCACAACACACTCCACTCATATAAAAACAAAATCTAAACATGTGTTCTATTTCTTCCACAGCCCTCAAAATAACTGATCAGCACTTTTTTTTTTTTAAGATTTTATTTATTTATCTGACAGAGAGACACAGCGAGAGAGGGAACACAAGCAGGGGGAGTGGGAGAGGGAGAAGCAGGCTTCCCGCCGAGCAGGGAGCCCGATGTGGGGCCCGATCCCAGGACCCTGGGATCATGATCCGAGCCGAAAGGCAGATGCCCAACGAATGAGCCACCCAGGCGCCCCTGATCAGCATTTTGATATAAGATATTTCTAGTAATAATGGATATACAGAAAATTCTCAAACAGTTCTCATACCAGTTTGGGTAGGTCATTAAACTGCAACAACAGAAATTCATGCATTTTAAGCCAGGTACACAAAAGTGATCCTAAAGCTCATTCATGATTTAGCTTTCTGGAGCTCAAAACATTTTCCCAGAAGAACGTTCATTCAAAAATGCAATGTTCCAGGGCACCTGGGTGGCTCAGTTGGTTGAGCATCAGACTCTTTCCGCTCAGGTCATGATCTCAGGGTGGTGAGATGGAGCCCTGCATCAGGCTCCGCACTGGGCGTGGAGCCTGCTTAAGATTCTCTCTCTCTCTCTGCCCCTCCCTCCCTGTGCTCGCTTGATCACTCAAAAAACAGACAAATAATAATGATAAATAAAAAGTATTTTTTTTAAAAAACCCACAATGTTCCAAAACTGTGCTAGGAGCTAGATCACAATCCATATTCCAAAATGCTAACAGTGGAGAAAAGCCCACACATAGAGAATTAGACAAAAATGTCTCAGGGGCAACACACATAAACTTTGTAGAGTAGAGAAATAACAAAGTTGATCTAACCAGAGGGCCAAGGCAGGACGCTCAGGACGCCGAAGGAGGTATTCTGTGAGTCCCTCATTGAAGGGGGACATGGAAAAACAGGATATCAGCGCACTCAGGGAACTATACCCAGGCAAACACGAGGAGGGTTTGAAGAAGGATTCAGGACCAAAAACTTCCATCCTGGAATGCAACTGGCCCCCAGCTGTGGGCCCTCCCGTCCCTCAGCCAAGGTCCCATGACGACTATGCCCTCCTTCATGACACCAGCCAGTGTGCTCTTTCTTTCTTTTTGATCAATCTTTGTTGATCTTCTTAAAGAACCAATCTAGCCTTGGTTAATTTTTTCTATTGATTTCTGTTTCCTGGGTCACTGTTTTCAGCCCTGGTCTCGTATCAATTGCTTCTGTTTACTCAGGTTATTCTGTGCTCTCGTCTACCTTCAGAAAGTAGAACCTTCATGGAGGTCACTGCTTTTAGACCTTTTCTTCTTTTCTGGTAGAAACATTTAAAGCTATACATTTCCCTCCAAGCACTGCTTTAGCTTTATCCCACAAATTCTGTATTTTCATTATCCTTCAGTTCAAAAGACTGTCTAATTTGACCTATGATTTCTTCTTTGACAAACTGATTCTTTAGATGAGCTAATTTCCAAAAACTTGGAATTTTTCTCAATATCGTCTGATTACGGTTCTCTAATGTAAGGTCACTGTAGTCAGAGACCACACACTCTGTATGTTCTCAATCCTTTTTGTATATTTACTGAGACTTTTTATAGCCCAGATTATGGTCGATCTTGGTGAACATTACACATGCAGCTGAAAAGAAAGTGGATTCTGCAAGTGCAGAGATAATGCTCCTACAACATCACTCAGTAAAGATGGTTCTGAGATCATCTACCTCTACACTGACATTCAATGGCTGAAGAGTGTGAAAACCTCCCAACTATCACTTCCAATTCCAGGCATAATGGACTAACAACTTACCCTCCTACCTCAAACAACTATGAAAGCAGGCAAAATATATGAAACAACAGTTTTCAGACAATAAACAACAGGCCCAAGTCAATCAGGTCGTGGAAATAAAAGGCACTTTGGCAAATTTCCTCTTAAACAAACAAAATATTCTAACGCGTGTGTGATAACTGTGACTTGATCAGTATGTTTATAAAATCCTTAAGGCCTAATAGCAGATGGAGACACACTCAGAAGGAAGCAAGAGGTGGAACCTGAGTTGAAAAGGTTTCCAGGTACATGGGGCGGTAAGGGTGAAAGCGATGGGGAAGGGCAGAGGAGAGACATGTCACAGCCACTCTGGTGCTCGGCCGATGTGACCATCAACAGCATCTAGAGCAGAAAGGAAAGTGGATCCATACTTTGACCTTTATACCAAGAAAAAGCGCAAGCAGATCAAACACCTAAACCTCAAAACTGAAATGATACAATACTGGACGAAAACCTTAGTAGAACAAAGATCTTTATAGCTATTCCCAAAAATCTACAGGACATAAAAAAGACTGACAATTTCATCTGCGAAAACATCAAAAATTTTTATATACAAAAAAAAAGCCACATGCAAAGTCAAAAGACAAAGAAGTGAGAAAGAATATTTGCATTTTATTTCACACAAAGGACTACTGGCCCTAATTTAGAAAATATTCCTACATATAGATAAGGATAAGACTGACATCCAAATGGAAAAATGGGTAAAGAAAACAAGAATGTACATAAAAATAAAAATAAAAATCCAACAGTCTGAGAGCACATTCTGTTAGCAATAACGGAGGAAACCAGGTCCTCTGCAGTGGCCAAGAAGACTATATATTGATACAAAAGCTACGAAGGACTACTCAGCAGTATTTGTTAGAATATAAAAAAGCATGTTCCCTTTGACCTTGTGATTGCACTTACGAGTTATCGGACAGTCATACCTGCCCACGTGCAATATAACATACGTATGAACAAGGCTATTCCCTGCCACGTTCCGTAGTTATGGAACATGGGGAACCTAAATGTTCACCAATAAGGAACTGATTAAATAAATCACAGTATATTCACACAGCGGAAGATAAAGAGAAAGTTCTTTATATACTTATATGGAAAGATCTCAAAAATAAACCATTTGGTTAAAAAAGCAAGAGGCTCAGGGGCGTGTGGGTGACTCAGTCAGCTGAGCCTCCAACTCTTGGTTTTGGCTCAGGTCATAGTCTCAGGGTCCTGGGATTGAACCCCACATCGGGCTCCATGCTCGTCATGGAGTCTGCTTGAGATTCTCTTTCCTTCTCCCTCTACCCCTCCCCCTGCTCACACACTCACTCTAAATAAATAAATAAAATCTTTTAAATACATACATATATATATATATATATATATATATATATATATATACCTACATATATAAATTTTTTAAAAAAACAAGAGGCTCAACAGTGTGTTGAGAAGCAAGTAAGCAGCTCACCTGCGTAGGGGACAGGGATGGAGGAACTAGGGGGATGGCTGGGAGGGAAACTAAGCTTTCTGATACTTGAACCATATGAATGTATTATCTATCAAAGAATTAAATATGTAATTTAAGCATATCCTGGAAAATTCCTCTCAAGTTTATTTCTGCTTCATAGACATCCTGCTAAGGAGTGAAAGTATGGCCGTCTCCGGGTGGGACATCATCTGGTGGCCCTGGCAGCTCAGTGGAGAACTCAGATATGTTTCATCTTACCAGAAGCTATTTCTGGGCAGACATATTTAAATTACTACTAACAAAATAGCAAATACTGTATCCTGTTTACTGTGAGCCCAGCACCATCTAAGGAATAGCTTAGTACATAAAACATGGTGTGTGTTTTTCTTCAAAGCATTCATCTGGCACATTATACATTTATTGGGGAGGGGGGTGCTCATGATCTGTCTCTCACCAAAACGTAATGTCCGAATTTTCGATCTCCAGTGCCATGAACAGCACCTGGAACACTTCAAACACTCAATCAGTGATCAGGGACTTAATTAGTTTATGGTCAAAGTGAGCATTTTAAGTTTTCTGGGTTTCCTACAAGCCTGCGCAGAGTAGGGGTGGTTTCTACCTTAGGAGTTCTCCAAGATAAAAGGGCATCGGATCCTCAGGAAAAGGGCAATTTTTCCTTGCACGGAGCCCAAAGCCCCTCCTCCTGTGCCACAGGGGACAACCGTCTCCACAGCATCCTCGTGGCAGACCCAAAATAAGTCAGAACAAAGCTGCTTCGGCACCGCTCCTCAGTGCGAGCCAGGCCCCGAACCAGGGAGATACACATGGGAACTCAGATCAGGAGATCAACCCAGGAAAAACTTTGATGTGTGC